ACAACCTTTTTAAAATGGAATATGAAAAATTGTAATGAACATGTCAGAATTTGAACAATCATCGGTTTTCACTGCAGCAGTCAGACTTGCTGCTGACCGTACTGCTGAAGAGAAGAATTAACAAGCATTTAATTCTGCAACAAAGAGTTAGATATGGTTTTGACAGACTGGAATAATTATGTGTGAAAGATTGCACTCTTGATAAAAAGTTGAAGAATAGAATGCAGTTGCAAAATTGTACAGTTGGTAAATAGATAAAGTCTGTTTACAAAAGAAAACACAATGCTAAGTATGCTTTCCTGCTGCAGTAGAATTTGGGAGGAATTTTGTCAAGAAATAAAAGGAATGTTCTTGGTTACAGTTCCTAAGAGAAGTACAACTATATTAATGGAGAAAAGAAACAAAAGCTAGCATCGGCTATTATGATTGCTAAGCTGGCTATAAAACTGAAGAGCTAGAACAAGGTGGAATTAGGCACAAAGTAATTGATCATACATACAACTTTGTTATCTTAACCAAACTCTGCATGCATACATATCTAGAAAAAATGTTTAGACATATAAAATGGTATAACAAGAAGCACAGGGGAACAGCCCATCACCACCTGGAATCATAATTTGTGGAATTTATAAGGGGCCAAAATCAGACCACTAAAGGAAAGAAATGCCTTAAATCTGTTCTTAAAGCAAATGCTAGAAGAATCAGAACATAAAACCATAAGACCAAAAAAAAAAAAAAAAAAACCTTCACCATTCAAAAAAAAAAAAAAAGTTTGTAAGTATGTTTATAAATTGCGTTTGGAGCTAAATACCTATTGTATGCAACATTTTGAACATATGAAAAAATCTTTTGCATAAGTTATTATTCTTCTTCTATAAAAATTACCAAACTGTACCAAGGAAGAAGCGGTAATACAGCGATTTCCAACATGTTACCTTTCATATACACCTTATTGAGAATGTCATTAAAGAATATCCCTAACCTTCCCCTTAAGCACGTTGATGCTCTTTCATTTTCTCGAAATATACACTGGTCATCAAAATTAAAGGATAATGAGGAAAAAATGTGCTCCTTAAGTTAATGTTGAAACCAGTACCCAATGCTGTAATTATTTACGTGAATTAAATACAACTGAACACAAAACATATGCTAGTGTCAGAAATATGAAAATTCAGTAATTGACAATGCGGGATGCATATTGGAGTTTCGGTCTGCAGAGCTGTTTAAAATGAACGTGGTTTCTGTGAGTGATCAGCATTCAGTAGTTATGGCTCAAAAATATCATATAAGTGGTGAATAATTAGCAGAATCTGGGGAAGTCAAACACAAAATCAAGGAAGATCAACAATATGGAGCCACTTTTTAAGCACTGAATTAGCTGATAGACAGCCCAGTCAAGGGTAACCAAGAGCAACAACTGCATCAGAAGATAGTTTTCTGCCATTGTCAGCTCAAAGAAACTACAAAACGGCTACAAGAGATTGGATTGGAACTTGATTGGAACTATAGGAACTTGAATTAGCTGTTCTATTGCTGCATAAAGGCTTAATGAGGTTGGCCTGTATGTGAGAAAACCAATGGTTTGTGTCACACTTACTCCAGCTTCCAGATGGCCATGTTTAAACTAGTGCCATCATCATGTTCAAAGGAATTCAGATGACTTCATTCCAAGCCATTGCTTAGTGGCGAATCCAGATATAGTCGGAACAGTGATTCTATACGTGTTTTGATATGGAGAGATAAAGGAACATTCAACTTGCCTTCTTTTGCCCATGAAATATCTCATTTCCATAACTGCAGTTTAATAGTTTGGGAAGGAATCATAACAAATGGCCACAACAAGCTACATATATTTCAAGGAGGTTCTGTAACTCCTCAGAGCTATGTGGATGAGGTATTGGAATCCCAAGTTAGACTGTTTAGGGGAGCTGTTTGCTAATGGATGACAATGCTTGGCCTCACCAAGCATATGTATTGTAAGAATACTTCCAAACAGAAATTATATCACTCAAATGGATTGGCCACCTTACACACGTGGACTTGAACCCGAATGAGCATGTGTGTGATGCTTTACGGCACTGAATTTCTGCGGGTCAAATTCTTCCCTGGATCCTCCATGAGCTGAAAAGTGCATTTTTAGACAGTGGCGTGCAACTCCACAAGACTTGATCAACCTGTTTTTCTTCTTTTTCTTTTCTCCCTCCCCTTTTTAAATACCTGTTTCCTAAGAATCTAACCTTCTGAATTTTGAAAATGCTTTGAAAGCAGTTATGAAACTGTTCAGTAATCTTAACTGAGTTTTATTTATTTTTGAAAAAATATTGATAATTACGTAAATCCCAAAAAAACACCAAAACATTTGACCAGTTACAAAAAATTTGTTGAAGATGCCAAAACAGAATTATTACCACTACTTCCTTATTAATACAGACCCCATTTAAAACAATAGGCTGGCACCAGGATTTTCACCAAGTTCATGTTTACCTCTCTACTGTGATGTTTTAATGATTGCTTTTAATATCATCCCAATAAACTCTGCAAAGAAGATTCGTGATGATGGCGAACCATGTCCAACTAATGTTTATTCAGCAACTTCGCAAAATGCAACAGTTTTTCGACATTTTGTGCATGAGTAGCTGTTGTTGGATGGATGAAACGAAATTTATGGTTCACACTAAAATGTCTTTAACCTGCTTTTCGCAGTTCCTCTGCTGTCTATGTTTTCCAACAATCTGAATACCCATTATTCCATAATCGGCAATTTTTGCCATGAGTATGGTTGCCTCTATCTGGAGCCTGATAAAGAAAGAATTCACCTGTTTCTCAGCATAACTCATCAAATATAGATTTTTGTAGAAGAACCCTGCCTGCTTTCTTTTTCCCCAATACAAAGAGTTTTGTTTATGGACGTTTCTTTTTCCCCAGTACAAAGAGTTTTGTTCCTGAAAAATGAAAAAAATAAAAATGTCACATATTTTTTTCAGGAATGCCTATTCATTTATTTGGTTCTCAGATTAGATGTACAGAATGCACCTCCTCATAAAATCTTTCCAGTCAATAGTTGTACTTCTATAATGACTGGGCTGCTTCTCCCACTACTTAATCAATGAAAGTTCACGTGCTCAACAGTAAATAAATTTCTCATGCTGTGCTTTTAAATGTTTTCATTGATATGTAGTTTTATTTAATAGCCATTTTCACATATTCAAATTCACATTCAAATTCAAATTTCACATATTCATAAATGTGTCGTCCTTGGAAGAAAGGTATACTGTCTTCCTTGATTCTTGATAAATCAAAAATTTTTAATATTAAAAAAGAAAAGAAAGAAAATATGCTAAACAGTGGAGTACACTAATAATATTCTCATAACAAAAAAATCATAAGTGATTGTAAACTGCCAACATTTATATGAAAAAGAAACTGCTAGTCATTTGATGACGGTTTGTATTATATATCAAGTTATCAGCAATCTTGGTGCCATTTACAAAACAGAGGCCAAAATAATAAGGAAGTATCATATTTTTTGTCCTATGCAAAGATCTTCTTTATGAATGTTTTCTATTTTTGTATAATAAAACACTTTGTATTTTAGAACTTTAACAGCACACATTTAAAATAAAAACTTCACATCAAATTGGTTTGTGCATCACAATTTTAAGAAAGAGTGCTATATAACACTTGATATTCACTTAATACTGAAAATATTGTTAGCCACCAATCCCTATGGCTGCGGCAGAAAAGAAAAGACTGGCTATATACGATGTATAGGGAATCAAGTAATGTGACAGATGTGAATGGCAACAGTTACAACTTCTGAACACATTTTAATCAGCAACAATCACGTCAGAAATAGTCAAAAATGCTTTTCCTTTTATCCAATGTCAGTTTTTATTACAACACTTTGTTATTTTACACATTACTAATCATTTTTTCACATATCCCAGACTAAGCCATGTACACTCAGGAGTATGCACAGTACAGGTTAGGAACCACTGTGCTAATACCACATGTACCTTTTTTTCTGTTAAATGCATCTGGCATATGCCAGAGCATCAATGAGCAGTGCAACTGTGAAAGGAACTGGCAAAACATTCCCCAGTGATGCACTATACCAGTGCTCCGCAACCGGTGTGCCGTGTGCCATGAGTAGGATATAGGTGTGCCGCAATCAAATACATGTATTTGACATTTTGCAATTTTTTATCATGTATTTAATACACAATGACAATTTTTTTTCCTTAATAATGTCTATTTTAAATGTTTTTATATATTTCACTGTTGTGTGTGTGATTGTAAGTGTGTCAGCATTTGAATTTTTTTGGCACTTCCTTGATAACTCGGAACTCTTTGGTGTGCCACAAAATTCCAGAAAGATTTTTTGTGCATCGCAGGTGAGAAAAGGTTGCGGAGCACTGCACTATACTATATAGTGGCCCGGCAAGTCTTTGGATTTTAATCCAGCTGAGCACCTTAGTAATGCTTTACCTTCTTGCATCAACTTTCAACACCTCATTATAAAACGATCACCCAAGAAAAGTTTACCTCATCATAAAACTATCACCCAAGAAAAGTTTATGTAGTTGCTTGCTGACAACATTCTAGCCGTACAAATCGTCTGTATTTACTCAGAATGACAGAACATTCATTTTACATCCTATCCTTCAAATATCAGTAAACGTTTTGTTAAGTAATGTTTTTGGTTTCAAATAATAAAGCTATTAAGATTGGGATTGAATTTCTGAAATTTGTAATGAATATATATAAAAGGCATAAAAAATTGCTAAGACAAATTTGCAATTATCTGAAACTAGTTGATTTTTTTTTTTTTTTTTTTTTTTTTTTTTTTTAATTCCCACACCATGAAGTACTTACATTCTAATTTGCAACAACACTGAATACAGAAGAAAACTTGTTTGGCACCCTCTCACCCCCAAAAAAGTATCATAAAATATATAATATCATAAAGTAGAGATTATAAACTCTTACAAAAAACTTACATTTCTGACTGCAATTTGAAGATGTCTGATTGTCAGTTTTCATATTCTTAAAATTGTTATTGTCCTCCACTAAATGCAAAGCCTGAAGCTCCATATCAAACTGCTCTTCATCCATTGTGCCAATGTCACAGATGTCTTTTAATAAGAAACCAAAGCCTAAGCAAAGAAACAATGCCCTTGCATCACAGAAAATACTGTTTGTTATATTAACAAATGAAATATTTCTTAAAGGACAAGATACTTAACACTTTACTGACCGATTGGCAATTAATCAGCTTTTTATCACCAATGCCTACCGACCGATCGCCTCTTAATCGGCCTTTTTATCTCCAACGCCTACCGACCGACAGCCTATTAATCAGATTTTTTCGCCAACACCTACCAACCGATAGCCTATTACTCTCTTTTTTCTCGGGGCTACTTAAAAATAGTCTATCAATCGGTAGCCATGGCGATAAACAACTGCTATTTACTATATCATCTGCATTTTATTATTAGTATTGAGGTACATTGCTCACTTGCGTTCAGTGCTTTGCTTCGTAAACTCCCATATTTTCACAGCATTTTTTAAAAATTTACTGTTCCGGTGAGCAAAAAAAAAAAGATACTGGAGAGTTTTATTTAGACGATTTATCAGATTGTCCTGACAGTTATTAAGGAAGTAATAGTAGTGACGAAAGTGATGGCAGCGAGAATCTGCCGCTGGGCGGCCGGTCAGACATGCGTATGCTGTTGAACCACTAACAGTCAGTAAAGTGTTAACATGGAGGTAATTTAATTCTAATGCTGACATTTCAGTATTTTAAAATTAAATAACTCTAACAAAAACATGCACTAAAACTCTTCTAAATGATGGATTAAACTAAATAACAAGAATAGTAAAAGTACAACAGCTAAAATCCAGCTATCTCTTCAGAGGTTTTATGAAAGACATAAGAATAATTACTACTTAAATGCTGAAAAATGAAAAACTTAATGAGAAGTTATATTTCACAGACAGAAAAATTAATTACCTTGCTTTAAGAACAAGTAATTCTGTACATTAATAAAAGAATAAATATTATATTACATCTATTCAACATAATGTGCTCGATACAAGATTATACTTTAAGCTATTATTAAAAAAATAATAATCAATATTATCATTAAGGGAAACATGCTTATAACTAATTATGCTTTAAATTTTTATAGCATCTGATTTAGAAATCTGTGCAAATTATTAGAAAATAAAAATATTATTATAGCAAATAAATTATTACTTAAAAGTTAGTTACATTATAATTAATAATTAATGTTGCATTATAAACTACTAGAAATACTGTTCAAAAAATTTATTAATAATAAAAAGTAGCAGTTTCTACATTACAAAATTTGGGATACTCAAATTTACATAAACTTACTTTTCAAGCTTATGTTTTCACAAAAATATTTTCAAAGATAGCAGTCTTTGAATCCTATAGCCCACCAACAGAAATCGCTAGACAAAACAAAACAGAAAAATTGGTGTTACATACATCTGGAACAATTTTCTTTAAATTTATAATAAGAAGAAGAACATCTATCTTGAAAATAACCTCATCGGCACACATACTATTTAATTTTTAATACTCTGAGAATGTTCCATACAATTACATAGATCAGGAATCAGGATGAAAAGCATGCATTCTTTTAAAATGTATTTAATGTTTATGTAATCTTTCCCTTCTAATGCCATCAAATCCATTTCAATTTAATGAAGCTGATTCAATATTAACTCTGAATGAAGTTAATGAAAACTGAATGCTAGACTCATAACTAAGTGATTTTCCATTTAATTTAAATCACACATTTCATACTTAAACTTAAAAGTGGATTTTTATACATAATTCACTAACTAACAATCAAATCCCCCCAACGAACATGATATAACTTGGCAGCTGATACACTCTTATTCTTAATTTCACATATCTATTATAACATACTGAATACTTCACAGCTTTTTAGCTATGTTCACAATCATCACACCCTTTTCTCTTTCAGTGATTTGAATAATACTTCTTTAACAGAAAATCACTTGAAGGCTAGGTTTGTATTATAATTTTTCATATTTAATAACTCAATCAGCAGATGCAAGTATCCAGTACTTTAGTTACTTCTAGAAATATTTTTTCAAAATTTTCAACTGAAATGTTGTTAACAGCACACAGCGATTCTTGTTGACTGAATCTTTGCAACTGCAATGGGAGCAAAAGGTCTCTTCCCCCCCTCCCCCCTTTTTTTTTAAAGAATGATCCATTCACTGCAATTTTAAAAAAAATGGTCAGACAAGTTTAGAACAGCAGAAAAGGTAACATAAAAAAGCACTTGGTTTTTAGCCAAGAACTGCTGTTATGCTCAAAACTATGACACTGCCATGATGTAAGAATTAATTCCAGAGCAACAGTCTAACATAACACATCAACTGGAAATTTTCAAGAAACTGGATTTTGTGGCTAATTTCTTCAATATTTCATAGTTCTGCTTATGAAAAAATGACCAAAATATAGTTCATTTTCAATGCATACTTCACTCCCTTTGAGCTCATAAGACCATATAGTGCATTAGCTAGTTTAAGTAACAAAATGCTTAAAAGAGCATTTTCTTAAGATGAGGATGTGAAAAATATCACGCCTGCAGTGCTGAACAGGATGTTTATAAGATAGTCTCCATTTAATATTTTTAGAAAAGTGTAATTTAATGCAAAGGATTCAAATTTCAAAAGATGAAATACAGAGGCCAAAAAATCATCAGGATCTAAATAAGAGAATCAATCTCAAATGTCTTAAATCAACCTATGTAACCACAAAAACATATTTGCATCAAAATATATCATACTATGAAGGCAATACAAAGAAATAATTTATCTGAATTCTTCGAACAACTGAAATCAAAAATGCATCCTGTCAACAGGACTAAGTGAAGGAAGCGCTAAAAGCAAAATATTCAGTACTGAAAAAATAGAGATGGAACAATATCCTATAGTTATAAAAACCCTTCATTTATTTTTTAATTTTGAAAAGAACCCTGTTATTTTCCTAGTACCTCAGAGAAGTCAGATAAGTAAGTCAGATATCTATCTGTCAAACCCTGAAGTGTAAGGTTATATAGGCTTCAAATCCTTGAAGTGTATCTCGGAATCCTTGAATGTAAATAATATGGTTCTTTCATAAATTTAAAAATAAATGAATGATATTCTTAAAATATTTTTTTATGCAGAATTTTCAGAAAAGTATTTTACAAAAAAATATATTACTTCATATTCAGCTATAACTTGGTATCAAACTGAAATTATAACTTCAGTTCTTAATTTTAAAGTAAGAATCGATCTAAGACATACTCTATACTCCTTTGAATAAACAAAAAGAGAATCAATTAGTCATGCACATATTTTTTAATTAAAAAAATTTAACTTAGATCAGCATTCATTTCATAGGAAAGCTCTGTGCATTTTAAGAGAATGTGAATTTCTCGTCTTCAAGAAGCAAATCTTCAAATAGAAAATTCATTCATTTAAAAAAGATGATTTATGTCAGATTTCTCTCACAACTGTTAGGGAATTTCTATAAAATTTCCTTACAAATTTTCTATAAAAAATACTTCAGAGATTTTCTACAACATCTATCTAAAACTAAAGCAGACATCATCTCTATACATGTTAGTCCAGCAGATGTTGCAGTATTAACCCTTCCCCCCCAAAAAAAATCTTTTACATACTAATAAATGATTCTGAAGTACAGAAACATAATTAGATTTAGGTATGCCATGCATATTTCCTGGCTTTCTCACCTTCCATCGAAACAGAGAAGCTATGATTTTAATCGAATAAATGAATGATATTCAAGAGTTTTGGCATATCTTTTACTTAAATACCAAAAGCATAATTTAAATACAAAAAGTGTAACTTTTACTTAACACTAGAACGGCCATAGGGGTAATTTTGGCCCCTGAACACTTTTGACCGTTTATTACTTTTGTTTTATTGGAAGAAATCATTTGGAATTTTATGACTTTTTATAAATAGATAACAAATATTTGTAAAAAAAAATTCAGCATTCTAGGTCTGTTAGTTTTTGAAATACTGGCATGCACTCCTAGAACGGCAGACGAGGGTCATTTTGACCCCTTTACTTTTATCCATCTTTCTGCTCGAGGTATTGTCCAATAACCCATGATAAACATTACCTGATAGGATTTTTCAATTGCATTCATACTATCTCCCAGAGGGATAAAAACCTGGGTGGTCTCACTACTTTGTAATGTTTACATAAGTTGTTCCTTCGTTTGCAATTATCGATTCCTTTGAAGAAAAAAAAGAAAGGTAGGTAGATGCAGGGTTTTTCATGCTTACATTTCTTTTCAGAAAAAGTTTATCATACGGAAGTATTTTCCTGTTTGTTAGTTCAGTTTACTTACTGCAGGTGATAACAGTTACGACAGATGTTTTCTTGGTAATCCCAAATCAGTTTCAGTACATATGAATTCTGCCATCAAGTTCATTATCACCTTTCCTTTACACTGTGAGAATCATATGCTAAAATATATTCCCAATCGTTTTCTGATAGTCTGATATTTTTTCTACTTTTTTCAACTTTTACAAAATACGTCTAATAAACGAAAAAGTGGTCTTTCGGATAAAGAAATTTTTAAAATGTTGCAGGAGCTACCTGAAAATGAGTCTGACAGAGATGAAATCGATAATTGTTCTGTAGAAACTGAAGATGAATTCCAGACACAAACTATTAGTGAATCCGAGAACAGCGAAGTAAATGAAGAACTCAGCAGAAATAAACGGGCAAAAACAGATCAGGGTATTTGCAAAACTATTTTTACAGCTCCTGATAACACTATATGGAATGAAATAAATTCCAAAAATTCAGTTAAATGACCTGTACATTATTTTTTTCAATATTTTGGATCACGCAGCTTTGAATGCCTGGATAATTTATGAAAGTGTAACAGGAAACACTATTAACAGGAGAGATTTTCTACTAAAATTAGGAGAGGAGTTAAAAGTGGTTGGTACATATGGCTTCAAAAATCCTTCCTGAGTCTTCGGGAAAAACACATGAAAAGATAAAATAAAATATAAACAGATAAAAGTGGATATAAAGAGATTAAAATGTCAAGTACAGAGATGCAATGGAAACAAATCTCAAGAATATTGCACATCTTGTTCCACAGTTGTGTGCAGAAAATGCAGTGGAAAAATTGTTAAAAATTATTTTTGTGTCAACTGCATTAATTCTTAATACGTATGTGTAGTCTCTAATATTTTAAACATTAAATAGAATTGAAATGAAATGCTTTACACATTCCATTCAGCTACACATATAACAATATAGCTGAAACATCAGAGAACTTTTCTCATTTCTGGATTTAGAGAGTGAATCATCCTCCGAGTAAGTACATAAAAAAATATTATTATATAAATTGTGTTTTATTTTGGTTAACATTACTTTTAATTTTGTGAAACCATTTATTTGAAATCAATTCTTATATCAAATTAATGAATTATTTGAGTAATTGTAGTATGATCCAATTGATCGCCATGTATTTGATACATTTATATTATTTTAAAAAGTCAATAAATTTATTATATGATATTAAATATAAATTATGAAATAAATATAAAGTACATATTTGTGCCAATCTATGGCATTTAAAATTGTTTTACCGTTGTTATTTCAGCACTTTCATCGAAGGGTTAAAATGACCCCTTACTGCCATTTCAGTAGGTAAGATTTTCTCACCGTTCTAGTGTTAAATACAAAAATAACTCCAAACACAACTAAAATAAAAACCAAAATCTACGAAGGCTTGAAAATAATTTTTTGGTTTTCAGAAAAAGATAATAAAATAATTTTATCAATGACATTTAATTACTAAATGTAAGTTGAAAGAAAACATGAAATTCTTTTTCTTTTCTTTATAATTCTTGGTCATATTGCCTGCTTAAAAATGTTAAAATTTTTACAGAATTTTAAATTAAAGATTCTAAAGGTGAGAAAATTTATAAATAACCAAGGTTATGAATGAAAGTTTTATGACAATAAGCAATCAAATATTCAATTCATCACATCTACTTCAACATACTTAGCAAACCTTTTAGACGTGTTTATTAGATTTAACAATACATTCCTAATGAAACACATATTTGCTCTGATATACCTTCAACCATCTTTTGTGACAGCAAAATTAAGCTTCAACTCTAAATATTAAGAATACAAATCCTAAAAACAGAACATAAGATGTTTTAAGTACGAGTGTAGATCAGATTGCATTTATAGAAGTATTCTCTTAATGCAAACTCATGTAGCTTTAATTACAGCCTCTTTCAAAAGCTGCAACAAAAGCTGTAAATCAATATTCGAAAATGCATTTAAGTAATAAATGAATTTATTCTATGCATTTAAGCAATTAATGTCTGTTCAGAAACTAAAAGTCATCCTATTTGTACGA